CGCGGTGGTAAATTAATCGTGCCATCCATGACAGGTTTGGTACTGTCCATCTCTATTGTTTTGGAGGAGTGTTTAGCCTTATATGAGGCCTTGCGGCCTGACACCAGGGCCTTATCATTGCATTTGCCATGGAAGTGTCAATTAAAGCCTGCATGTCAGCAGGATCAGTAAAGCAGAAATTCAGCCTCATCTCCAGAGATACCTGGAGAGGCTTCTACATTAATCTGCATGTTTGCTGTAGACCCAGAAGGCACAGAAAGATCCTGTCAGACTGCATCATAAATATACAAACAAACCTAAGGGGCTGAATAAAAGCAAAATAATACCAAAAGTAAAGGGTTGAGTAACCCTCAAGTAAAAATAAATAACTAAACAGGATAAAGAAATGAAAGTACTCACAATAGTGAAAAAAAAAATAGCAATTGTAATATAAAAACAAAGGAGCTGCCCGGCTGCCACTACAACTAAACCCCAACTTGGATTTCTGGAAGTTGGTGGCAGAGCAGCAGCCAGACAGATAAATTAAGGGAAAAAACAGCACAATGGCACTATTCAGGATATAAAGATCCTCAAAGACGTCCCTGAGCCCCAATTGATGGTATTCTTGGGGCCAGGGAGGTCAGAGGGGAAATACATTATCAAAGGATATATAATAAAGCATATAACTGAAGCAAATGAAGTAAATAAATCAAATTACGTTAAAATGAAGTAACTAAATATATGTATACACATGAAAATATTATAATTAAAATGTAATAACTATATTAATCACAGTAATGATATAAATAAAGTAAAGTAAAAGATCCCACAGTTAAGAACCATGGGACCAAGTGTCACTTAACTGAGGGAGCAGCAAAGAAAGAGGAAGTAGTATACTGGACACTGCCTATTATGCTATAAAGAGGATGCTGATTGGCTGTTGCTGTTGCTAGGAAGATATACCTCATGTTATTTACTGGTTTCTTTTATACTGATTTAATGTTATTTTTCTTTGCTGCTGAGGTAAATAAAGAAAGAGTGCAGCATAATAGGAGCCTCCGTGTCTTAATAAAATCAAATTTTTGCCTCATTCCATTTTAAACATGGATTTTATTAATGACACGGAGGCTCCTATTATGCTATCTCTTTCTTACTTTATTCCTCAGCAGCAAAGAGAAATATAAAACTGAAAGAGAAAAAAAAAAATGTAGATATGCAATAAAATAATAACAGGTACAACCAGATCTGCCTAGTAACAGGGCAGCCAATCAGTCTCAAGGAACAGTCCATAAATCTCTATCCTTGTACTTCCACTTTCTCTTTCTTTGCTGCTGTCCTCAGACCAGCTAAGTATAATTTTTCTCCTACATTGTTTTGATTTATGGGTTTTTACTAAGGTTGTATTACCTGTGTTGTTTTTCTGTATTCATTTTCTGGTTGCTATTTGCATTTTATTTGCCTTATTGGCAGGTTTTATGCCTGTTTTATGTGATCTTGTGAACCTCCTTTGGTTTACTATTTCTGCCTCCCCTGCGTTTGCCCGCCGCTTCCCCTGCCTGTCTGGCCGTTCCCCCTTTCAGACAGGGTTCGCGGCTAGCAGGGGAGGTTCATTCTGCAGCCCCTGTGCTCCCCAGTTCCCTTTCCCTTCGCGGCCGCGTGTGCGGCCGCGCTCATCTGCCGACCCGATCCCCCGCTGGTGCGAGGGAGTGCCGGCCGCGTGTGTGGTCGCGCTCCCCGGCCATTGGCGGGGGAGGAGCCTGGAAACAGCCGCGGCGCGTTCTGTGCGTGGCGGCCATCTTCCCCTCGGGCTCCATGCGGCTGGGTCGGCTCCCCCTTTTACCTCTCCCATATTCTTTGCAAGTATTGTGTATATTTATTGTCTTTTCTTGGTGGGTTACTCAACCCTCTCCTGTGTAGGTTTATTATACTGTTCAGGTTAGTTTAGGTTTTCATTTTGCTCTGCTCCTGTGTATATAATTAAAGGGGCAGTACTTGCAGTTTCTATTTGACTCTGTTAATTATGCAGGCTAGGGGTGAGGGTTCTGGTAGTCCCAGTTACCCCATTATGGACTCCTCTCAGACCCCTACTACAGGGGATATGGGCCTTACTCCCTCCCAGGAGTTCCAGGCCCTTTTTGATTCCACCATGCAGAAGGCCCTGGCTTCAGCCATGGGGACAGTGTCCTCGTCCCTCTCTCACACTATTCAGCAAGCGCTGTCGCAACCTTTGGGCCCTGCCGTGTTGCCTGCTCCCCTGCCTGCGCTGCAGCCTCATACGGGTCGCAAGGCACAAACAAAATTTAAACATGTCTCTCCAGAGATGACGCAGGTGACACCTGCCTTGACTGACGTGCCTATGGCCGTCCCAGATGGCGCGTTTCCGCGCAAGAGAGCCGCTGGCCGGGCAAAATCGTCCAGAAAATGGAAACGGGCACGTGCCCGAGATGATGATGGATCGGATACCGATCAAACTGGAGAGTCAGACTCGGATCCCCCTGATTACGCCTCTTATGAGGAAGGGGTTTCCGGCGATGAGGCGGAGTTTGACGCTTCGGCGCTTCCGCCGGGTGAGGGGCAGGACATCTGTGATCCTCAGGGTTACCCCCTGTTTGATCCCGATGACCTTCGCCATCCCCGCTCGGCGGAATGGGACCCGCCCGCGCATATTGCCAATTATCTGGCGCTTCGTATGCGTACCCCCCTTTCCAAGGAGGGGCGCAGTAAACTGAGGGCCGAGTGCCCAAGGCCTTCGGTGCCTGATTCGGCGTGCAAGACGCCAGAGGTTGACCCCCAGATTTCTCAGTTCTTAACTAAGACGGGTTGGAAGCCCCGAAAAGGACTGGAATTTTCGCTGCATAATTGCCAAGACAAGATCTTGGATACCCTGGGCCCCGCCGCCAAGCTTTACGAGCTTCTGGAAGCGGCTAAGGCTGGAACGAAGCCTATTGATTTTGATGAAGCGATTGGGTGGGTCCAGAGGTTGATTTGCCTTCTCGGCAACGCGAACACAGCCATGTCGGCTGAACGCCGCAAGGCGATTCTGCTCAAAATTGAGCCCAAGTTAGTTAACCTGGCAGTGAAGGAGCCTGGTGCTTCGGCCAAGGGTATGCTCTTCGGAGAATGTTTTGTTAAGGACTTAGGCTCCTTTGTCCGTACCTTTACCGCGCTAGATAAGGCGCAGTCCAACCTGAAGAGGGTGTTCGGCCCTAAGGTTTCCCACGGGGCCGGGAGGTATAGGAGCCGTCCGCCCGGCCATGGAGCTCGAGGTCCCACGAGGACTCACAGAGGTTCCTTTTCCGCCCCCCGGACCTACCAAGACTATAAGCCAACGCCCTTTTTTCCCTCACGGGGGAGACCATGGCAGAGTCGGGGAGGTCGTGGACAACCCTCATACAGACGCCCATACGGTGAGTACACCAACACGTGTATCTTGCAGAACGAGTGTGGGGGGCAGATTGGCACTGTTTCTCGATGTGTGGGGTATGATCACCACGGATGTTTGGGTTCTCAGTGCGGTCAGGGGTTTCCGCCTGGATTTATTGTCTCCCCCTGTCCAGACGTTTCTCCCACAGGAGCTGAAATTACCAGCAGAACAGGCCGGATTAATTACCGCAGAGATCGCGGAACTGTCTGCCAAACGAGCTATTCAAGAAATCCCCTACGGACACCCGGGATTTCTAAGCAACCTGTTTCTTGTCGCCAAGAAAGGCGGAGGCGTACGTCCAGTGATAAACCTCAAACACCTCAATTCTTTCCTACGTTACCATCACTTCAAGATGGAGGGCGCTCATTGTCTCAGGGACCTGCTCCGTCAGGGAGACTGGATGGTCAAACTAGACCTCAAAGATGCCTACTTGACTATACCCATGGCAGAAGAACATTGGGACTTATTGCATTTTACGTGGCAAGGTCGTCGATGGCGTTTTACATGTCTGCCGTTCGGTCTATCTTCAGCTCCGTGGTGCTTCACGAAAGTAATGAAGCCCGTGGTGGCCTTCCTCAGGGCACGAGGGGTCCGCATGATTATCTACCTGGACGACATACTGATTATGTCTTCATCCCCGAGCAACTTCTCAGGCACCTGAGATGGACGGTGAGTCTCCTGGAGAGACTAGGTTTCCTCGTCAACTGGGAAAAATCCATTGTGACCCCGGTACAAAGGATAGAGTTCCTGGGCTTCGAGGTCGATTCAGTCACCCAGTTTCTGTTCCTCCCGGAGGCAAAACTCCGATCGATGAAAAAGGAGATACGACGGGCGCTGCGAGCCACCTCTCTCTCCGTCCGGCAATTGGCGAGGGTGATCGGCCTGTTGGCCTCATCGATTCAGGCAATTTTTCCGGGCCCACTGCATTATCGAGCACTCCAACGTTTGAAAGGGTCCCATCTTCGCTCAGGGGGCTCGTACGAGAGCGTGTTGACCCTGGACGGGGACTCCAGAGACGAACTAAGGTGGTGGCTGGACCACATGGAGGCCTGGAACGGCCGGGCGATCTTCGGCTCCGCGCCGGATGTGATAATAGAGTCGGATGCAAGCCTGCATGGCTGGGGCGCTCGCTGTGGCGGTGTCTCCACCGGTGGAAGATGGTCAGAGATCGAATCGGCTCTGCACATAAACTGCCTGGAACTTCTGGCGGGTTCGTTTGCCATTCGAAGTCTATCTCCGACGCAGGGAAATTGCTGCGTCCTCCTACGTATGGACAATGTGTCCGCTGTCAGGTACATAAACCACCTCGGGGGGACAAAATCGAAGCAGTTGGCGAACTTGGCAAAGGATTTCTGGCAGTATTGCCTACACAATGCCGTATCGGTTACGGCCGAGCACATTCCGGGTCTGGACAACGAGTGGGCGGATTGGAACTCGCGCTACCTGAAGGATTCAGGAGACTGGCACTTGCTGTCCTCAACATTTCAAAGGATAGAACGGTTGTGGGGTCCACTTCACCTGGATTTGTTCGCGTCCAGATTGAACACCCAACTACCCCAGTACTTCAGTTGGAGACCGGACCCAGCGGCCACGGCAGTGGACGCGTTCTTGCAGACGTGGCCGCCGGGACGCCATTATGCGTTCCCACCGTTCAACCTGATATCCCGGACACTGGCGTACTCGGCCGGACAGAATTGCACGATAGTGATGGTAGCTCCGCTCTGGCACTCTCAACCGTGGTTTCCCCGCCTTCTGGAGATGGCCATAGATTTCCCACGGATAATCGAAATGAGGCCGGATGTGCTTCTGGATCCGGATGGGAAATTGCACGAATTGGTGGATCAGAACTTACTTCAACTGACGGCTTGGCTAATCTCGGGAGACCCTGGTGTGTCACGGACGTTTCGCAGACAACTGCTCGACTATTGGAGAATGCCTGGGCACCAGGTACCAGAGCGGCTTACAGGACCGCATGGCGCGTGTGGTCTGGCTGGTGCTTGGGAAGATTGCTGGATCCACTTTCTGCCCCTCTAAATGCGCTGCTTGATTTCCTGACGGAACGTTTCGATTCTGGTTTGGCTTATCGTACCCTTAATGTCTATAGATCAGCCATTTCGGCCGGACATCAAGGGATAGACGGATCTCCGATCGGACAACATCCTATCGTGTGCCGCTTGTTGAAAGGTATCCGCTTTGCTAGACCGCCAAGATCTAGATACTCATCGTTTTGGGACGTTAACGTCGTCCTTGGATTCTTGGACTCCTGGCCCTGTAATGAGGACTTGACACTCAAGCAGTTATCATGGAAACTGGTCATGCTCCTGTGTCTACTTTCGTGTAAGAGGGTGTCGGACGTCAGGGCTCTGGACTGGAACGCGGTCTCGTTCACCCCCGGAGGTGTGTCGTTTAATATCTCGAGGAGGACTAAGTCGGCTTCCAAGTCGGTGGACTACCCTAGATGCTCCATCAGACCTGCTTTGTGTCCTGTGGCTTGTCTCCAGGTTTATTTGGATCGTACCCGGCTGCTGAGGTCAACTAACTTGCCTCCACTCTTTATCTCCTTGAAAGCACCGTTTCTACCGGTCTCGTCGCCGACGCTCGCCCGCTGGGTTAAAGATCTCCTCTCGGCTGCGGGTATCGACACTTCGGTTTTTTCGGCTCATTCAGTTAGGGGTGCCATGGCATCAAAGGCTTCTACGATAGGATGTCGCCTAGACGATATCTTGAAAGCGGCAGATTGGTCTAAGGAATCTACGTTCCGTGATTTTTACTTCCGCCCGATTGAACATGTTTCTTCATTGGTTGTGGCTCAGCTTTAAACTAGCATAATAGGAGCCTCCGTGTCATTAATAAAATTCCCAGATTTTACTATTTACATGACGTAAAGTCATGATTTTATTAATGACACGGAGGCGAGTATTATTCCCACCCACCCTCCCGTGGGTCTGGGTCTGGTTTTTCGCTTAGGGTTCAATCGGGGGGTTTGTCTTATCTCACGGTAAGTGCACATGTGTTACTTGTATTGAACATATGGTGTTTTAGAGTGTGACATATGTACATGGATTTGAGTATGATGCTCTCTATTTGCAGGTCACGTATATTCGATATGTTGCACTCAGTTCCTAAGTTTGGAGTTTACCACATATTTCTTTGTTTTACAGCTTGATTCCGGTCTGTTGATGTCTACCGGTTTGACGTTTCTTAGTTACTGCTTGGATATTTTGCTTTGGGTCTTCGGTTCAGAAGGCAAAGAAGAGGAAGTGGAAGTACAAGGATAGAGATTTATGGACTGTTCCTTGAGACTGATTGGCTGCCCTGTTACTAGGCAGATCTGGTTGTACCTGTTATTATTTTATTGCATATCTACATTTTTTTCTCTTTCAGTTTTATATTTCTCTTTGCTGCTGAGGAATAAAGTAAGAAAGAGATAGCATAATACTCGCCTCCGTGTCATTAATAAAATCATGACTTTACGTCATGTTAATAGTAAAATCTGGGAATTCCTTTTAATCTAATTTGCATATGCCCACCCAGAATCCTTTGCGGTTGTAATATCACTGTAGATTTGGGATTTCTGTGGGAAAAGCAAGTCTTATGGCTAGACTGGTGTGCAGATTTTTGTTTAACATTGTATTAACTATCCCCAGACTTCAGGTGGAAGGGGTTTTCAATCACAATTTTTCCCCACCATGATTTTGCTTCATATATATATATATATATATATATATATATATATATATATATAACAAATAATCAATAAATACATTGAAAAACATAAAATAAAAAGATAATAAAAATAAATGTAAAAAAAATTATGTACCAGTTTAAATTAGTTCTAACTGTATTTTGATTGTATGTATTCAAAATACATTTTAGAATGACGTTATAAATACATATATGTATTAATATATAGATCTATATATATATATATATATATATACATACACACACACACACATATATATAATTTATTTAATTGTCATTTTATTTATTAGAATTTGGGGGACCTGCCTGACAACCCAGGCAAAAAGTCCAGAGAATTTGGCTTGCAAGCCCTATATTTAACCTTGTAACTATCCAAGACACCATAAAACCTGTACATGGGGGGGGTTTGTTTTATTTGGGAGACTTCGCTGAACACAA